CCTCTCAGTACATGTCCTAAACTTCCACTAGCTCTATTAGAAAAATTAGCTTCTGCATCAGAAAAAGAATATTCTCCGTTTGCAAAGGATATAAAAACCAAACGTAATGTGAGTCTTTTGAGATTGGAGTTCTGAATTCTGGGAATGAATGCAATTTGTTTTTTAATTATTTCAGTTCTCCTGATATTGCAGTGTCAGCACGTTTCATTCTGCAACACTGCACACTGAAGTTTCTAAAAGAAAACAATAATATATTTGAAGACATAACAGCATGAATACAGTTTACGGGGTTTTTTTCCCCCTTGAAGTCTATATCTTCTCAGATATTACTAGACACCTGGTGATGAGGCTGCATTGGGACTTAACAGTAATCTGTTGACACATCGTAAACATCAGGTGCCTGGAAGTATTAAGAATCATCTGCACTTTATCTTAAAATGTTACAGGACTGCCTAGTGCAGCAACTGTGGTGACTCCCAGCTTGATAGTTCCTTGTAAAATGGTCTCTTTCTTTTCTTCTTCTTCTCTTTTTTTTTCCTATTCAATAAAATCTGTAACCACAGTTTTCCCATTCTGTCTCACTTGATATATTTACAAATCTCTCCACACTGCATCACAAGTACAATAATAAATATTCTCTATGATCATCAACACTCCTTGCATATGTAGATAGTTTTCTACACTACTGTCATGTCACTTTAAAGAACCTATTTCTGCTGGTTTCCCTTTATCCATCAACTCTTTCATCTACTGAAAACTTGAAGAAATTGTGGCTTGTTTGCCAGCAGAACTATTTGCCTGTTTCCTGTTAGCATGAATTGCTTACACACTTAACTATAGAAGTTTTTGATAGGGCTGAATATGTATTTGTAGATTACAGAGCAAAGTCCCATTTGTTACAAGATTAAGGGCTTGGATGGAAGTTTGAGTTAATCTGGCCATGAAATTTATACCTTTTCTCCTCTATGTGAGCCATTTAAAATTTTGGTTTGTAAATAAATTTTGTTTGTGTATATAAACACATAACAGTACATTTATGTCTAAACATATTTATGCTAAATTATTCTTTAAAACCACTATTCTTTATTAGAGGATGTATACAATGTGCTGGTTGAATTGTTAAATAACAGTAAGATGTGTTTGTGCACAGTAGGTGTCCTAACTATGTATGACTAGTAAAGGAATAGTCTTTATATGTCATCCTATCAACTGATTAATCTATTGAATAAACATGGCCTGATTTTCAGAGTTGCTGAACACCTGCAAGTCTCATACAAATCAGTGAGTGCTGAGTTCTCAGTGCCGCTGAATATCCATCCAACATTTTACACATACATAATACAGGAAATTTGAAGATTTTCATAATTATGGTACAAAACCCACTAATTCACATTAGTTACTTATAAACCTGCAAATACTGAAATTTACTCACAAATTAGTGAGTAAATGGACAGTTAAAACATAAAGCTAATGCATTGCAAAATGTACTTAATTGGGAAGAAAATTATGCCACCTCATTCATACTGAGCCTTACTTTACTTGGCAAGTATTCTCATTGGGCCAGATTCTAAGTAGCACCTTTTTCCAGGTATCCCTTAACTTTGATGGGACTATAGGTGAGATACGATGCTATGCACATGGATAAGGATATCACAATCTGACCTATTGAATTTAGTCTAGGAGTAACTCCAGAGTAAAAAGGTAAGAATGGGAAAATCTGGCCCTTATTGATTAGACAACTGTAGTCTTGATTTGATTATTTATAAATTTTTGGTAGTGTACTAGTTAATGTGGTGTAATGCAATGTAGTATATTCTGTAAATATACAAAATCTTAGTAGAACCTCCCTAGAGAACTCTACCATTAAATCCTTGCTGAGAAACAGGAAGAGAAAGAGAGCTGTTCTGTTGTGTACATTAGAAAGTAGGAGATTAATGTGGTTCCACCATACATATATATTTAAAAAACTACACTGAATATTCACTAGAGAAAATACTTATAAAATAGCTTAGCTTTCACCTACTTAAAGCAATGAGCAAATAGTGCATTTTTCACTAGTTAATGAAAGTGGACAAGAACCCAGATGGTTGGAAACTAGCTCTTCCTTTTACTGGCTACCTCTTTTGCTTCTTAACAACATAGGTTATTTTCCTAGAAGTAGATTTTCTACCAGTGGATTAGGATCCATTGGATCCAGATAGAGAGCCTGATCCTGCACTCTTTGGTCATGAAAAACTCCCACTGACTCCAATGAGAGCTTCAATGAAGTGCAGAATCAGACTCAAAGTAGCATGTGCTTTCTGATTTTAAGTGCAGAGTTTATATATAATATCTAATTTGGGGATGGGGAGAGAAAGAAGGCAAGAATATATAAAAATTCATTTCATGTAGCCTGTGGTGAAGACATGCAATTTTTTCCACATAGTTCTCCTAATACAAACTCCTGATACTATAAACTTGGACCTATCCTGAACAGGGCCCCAACAACTATCTCAAACTGCGTATTTGTTTTATGATTATGTTGTGACTACTAAATTCAGGTCCACTTGTGACCTAAACTAAATTTGATCCAGCTTTCCATAAATGAAAGATGAGTGTTTCTTAACTCACTAGCTGCACCACCTTGCTCCAAAACACTGTGTGTAGATATTCAGGAAAACAGAAAGTTAAATATTAGGTATACAGGTTCATGCTATCAGGACTTACGGTTAAATTTTTTCACAGTCATCACAGCAAAACTTTCACAGAAACCACAACACACCTTTTTTTAAGGGAGGAAATTCCTCTTTCAGTTTTATATAAATTTCAAAAAAAAAATCATGACTGATATGATACAGTGAACACTGTAAAAAAGGAATAATATTTATGACTGAGATTTTACACTACAGTTGAATCTTTACTATTTAGTAGTATCAATACATGTATTAATTGCTTTATATAGACATTACATGGTTGCAAGAGAATATAATTTTCTAAGTTTTAGTAACTATTACACTTGTCACTTGGAAAAAAAAAGTATTTTTGTATTCTGACAACTTCATTTTATAGTAAAAAAAATTACATGCCTTAAACAAGAGTCACTGAAAGTTATTTATTTGTCTTTTAAAGCATGAATTATAAATTGAATTATTTTCGGTATTGCCCTAACCTAATATTCTTCCTGACGTGTCAGTTTTGTTAAAATCAAGTTCTGATTTTGAATATTGCTCAACCACCTAATTGATAGCAACACAAATTCATGATAAGTATAAAATGAAATTGTTTCTGTGACACAACTCAATAGTGGGTTGAGGAATAGTTCACAGTGACCTTGTACACAGGGCATTTTTCTGCAGTTATTAAAATATACAGCTATAGATGATCAATTATTGGCCACCTCTCTTGACAATATTAGATGCCACTGGAAACTAAGTAAATTTGGTGTTCACAAAACTGCATCATATGAAGCCTCAAATGCATTACGAATTTCCTTTTGATACATCAAGTGTCTACAGTGCAACTTTTTCTCATTAGCTGGCAACACAAAATGAGTCTGTGTCACTTTTGATACACTCAGCTCATTCCCCTATGACTCAGAACAGCATATTAGGAGAACCACAGGACAAAACAGATATGACACTTCAGATATATTTAATAGTCATTACCCAGAGCCTGCATTCAATGAAAAATCTAAAAATTGCTTTGGAGCATACCTGTAACATTTGAACATTAAGCCACACTAACTAAGGAATACTTTAAATTAGATCAATTAGGGCCAGATTCTGCCCACTGTTTTATGGTATAAGCCCACTGCTTCAGAACACATCTTTTGTGTTTGAACTTCAAACTACACACTATGTATTAAGTTGTTATTTTACTTAAATATTAAACTCAATCCAATGGCCCAAATTCTGCCATCACTTACATACATGAATGTCAATGGGTGATGAGTGTTACTGAAGGCAGAATGTGGCCCACTACTGTATTTTTCAAAAATGAGCTTTGATTAAAAAAAAACAAAAACAGAGCATGTAAGTCTTTCACTATAAAGCAATAGTCAATATTGATTCAGGCTACTGGAAATCTGACTAGTCATTCTGTTGATTTACAATAGGATTTGAGTTTTGTTAACTTTGCAGGGGAGGGGGGGGAACTATCACATACATTTTAATCTAGTTAACTAAGCAAACTTTCCAAGGCTGAAAGTTTTATTGTTTTCAGGGAAGAAAAGGAAGTAATGGGGCCCCAAATGATACTGTTCTGTGTCAAAGATAAAAAATATATGTATATATGTTCTAAAAAGGAAACTTAAAAAATTAAAAGCATACATCTTGGAAATAGCTGATATTATATACAGGATTGGAAGGCTATATACACTGTTGCAATAGATGGGGGGGGGGAAGTGTGTCCTTAGTGTGTACAGTTTCTGTAATGTCCTGTTGGTTACAGAAGCAGACATAACTTCTTCAAATATCCCCACCACCTCTCTGCCCCAAAGAAAAGTACAGTGAAACCTGTGGAAGAGACCACCTTTTGCTTGTTTGCAGTGTTGTTGTAGCCATGTTGGTCCCAGATTATTTATGAGAGACAAGGTGGGTGAGTTTGCCTTTCCCAGATTGAAGAAGAGCTTTGTGTAGCTTGAAAGATTGTCTTCTTCACCCACAAAAGCTGGTCCAAAATAAGATATTACCTCACCTACCTGGTCTCTCTCACCTTTATTAGGCAATACCCCAAAGTATCCCAAACATATTAGGCTTGACAGTGTTCTCACATATACCAGCTTTACACTGTTGTAACTCCATTTATGTCAGTGGAATAACTTTTGATTTACACTGGTGACACCAGCATGAGAACAGAATCAGATCCCTCAAGTATGATCTGCATACCTTTATTTTAATAAGTCCACCTCCCTGAAGTGACTGATTTTTGTTGGTGCCTTACAACAGGTTTCACTGCAGACAAAACATAACGTTTAAACCAGCGTCTAAAGTGAGGTCCGGGTTATTCTAAAAGTCTCCTACCTGAATAATGGACATCCGGCTCGGGGGAGCCTCGCTGGCGTTAGTCCCTTGCCCTGTGAAGCTGGTGTGGCAGCCCACATGTCCCTGGGGCACAGTCAGGTTGTTGGAGGCGGGTTTCAGATACATCACCTCGGACCTGGGTGAGCTGAGGGGCAGACGGGTCTGGTAGTCAAAGTACATGGGTGAGGTGGCCAAGGATGGGCTGCTCACTACGTTCATGACATTGAGGGGGCCCCTGCTGTCCTCGCCCTCACTGGGCACCAGCATGATGTCATTCTTGCTGATCTTCTTCTTCTTGCCCTTGCCTCCGCCACCGCCACCTCCTCCTCCTCCCCCGCTGCTGCTGCCCCCTCCTCCCAGCTGGGGATGGCTGTACTCTGCGATGCGGCAATTGTAGGTGCGGATCTCCTTGTTCTCCCGCTTGCACTTCACGGCAATGGTGATCATGGCAGCTAGTAGGATGATGGAGACAGTACTCAAGGTCACAATCAAGGGCAGCGACAGGTCCCAGTGTGGTCGCCGATGCTGCTCACCATTCACCTGCGGCTCGCCGGCTTCGGGCAATGGTCCTGCCAAGGCCCTGACAATCAGTTTGGCCACGGCTGAGAGGCTGGGCTTGCCGTGGTCACTGACCTTGACCACCAATTCAGCCACCGGACTGAGTTCTTCCCAGTATGGGTGCAAAGTGCGTATCTCGCCACTGGTGGGGTCCATCTCAAAGAGGTGCTCCTCATTGCCTTCGACGATCTCGTACGTGAGGCGTCCGCTCTCCCCAAAATCACTGTCCAGGGCATGCACGGTGCCCACGGGGTAGCCCACACCAGCGTTGCGTGGCACCTGGAGCTCCGCAGTGTCATTGATGAGGGCAGGCAGAACAATGAGGGGTGCGTTGTCATTGACATCGAGCACGGTGACACGCACAGTGGCATTGCTCTCGCGGTGGGGTGAGCCCGAGTCCTTGGCCAGCACGCGGAACTCAAAGTGCTTGGTTTGCTCATAGTTGAAGCTCCGCAAGGCGTAGATGGCGCCATTGGTGGGGTTGACGGAGACGTAGGTGTAGATGGAGACGTCGCCCACGTGCCCGGGCAGGATGGAGTAGGACACAGTCCCATTCTGGCCCAGGTCTGGGTCCTGGGCCAGCACGGAGCCTAGGTACTCACCAGGGATGTTGTTCTCAGGCACCTGCAGCACGTAGAGGCTCTTGCTGAAGCGGGGCGGGTTGTCGTTCTCGTCCAGGATCCGCACGGAGAAGGACTTGGTGGAGTTGAGCGGGGGGCTGCCCCCGTCCCGGGCCAGGATGGTCACGTTGTACTCGTCCTGCGCCTCGCGGTCCAGCGGCCGGTCGGTCACCACCGTGTAGAAGTTGTCGTAGTTCTCCTCCAGGGCGAAGGGCACCGCGCCCGCCCCGCCGCCGCCCAGCACCCGGCACTGCAGCTGCCCGTTCTTGCCGGAGTCGCGGTCGGTGACCCGCACCAGGGCGATGACGGTGCCCGGCGGGGCGGCCTCGCTGAGCGCCCCCTGGCGGACGGAGACGAAGCCGATGGCGGGCGCGTTGTCGTTGCGGTCGATGAGGCGCACGGTCACCTTGCAGTGGGCGGGGATGGGGTTGGGCCCCAGGTCGCGGGCCTGCACGTCGATCTCGATGAGGCCGCTCTCCTCGTAGTCCAGGTTGCTCTTGACGCGGATGAGGCCGCTCTGCGGGTCGATGCTGAAGAGGTCGCGGACGCGCTCGGGCGCGTAGCCGCTGAAGGAGTACAGCACCTCGCCGTTGGTGCCCTCGTCCGCGTCGGTGGCGTTGAGGTCGATGACGGCGGTGCCCAGCGGCGCGTTCTCCGGCAGCTCCACCACGTACGAGGCCGCCTCGAAGACGGGGCTGTTGTCGTTGGAGTCGATGAGGCGCACGTTGAGCTGCACCGTGCCCGAGCGGGGCGGGTCGCCGCCGTCCAGCGCCGTCAGCACCAGCGTGTGGTGGCTCTGCTCCTCGCGGTCCAGCGGCTTCTGGATCACCAGCTCCGGGAACTTGGTGCCGTCGCCCCGCGACTTGACGTCGAGCGAGAAGAGGCCGTAGTCGTCGCGGGTGAGCAGGTAAGTGCGCAGCCCGTTGTCGCCGGCGTCCGGGTCGTGGGCGCTGGTGAGGGGGAAGCGGGTGCCCGGCGCCGCGTTCTCCGAGATGTCCATGTCCACCTGGTCGGAGGGGAAGGCGGGCGCGTTGTCGTTCAGGTCCTGGATCTCCACCTTGATCATGCAGATCTCCTGGTCGTTGGCGAAGACCTCGAGCGAGAGCTGGCACTTGGCGCTGCGCCGGCACAGCGCCTCGCGGTCGATGCGCTGCTTGGTGTAGAGCAGCCCGCTCTCGCCGTCCACGTCCAGCAGGTGCGGCGCCGAGTTCTCCAGCACGCGGAAAGTCGATTTGGTCCCCCGGCCGCCTCCCCGCTCCGCCGGCGGCGGCGGCCCGCCCGCCCCCGCTTGCAGCCGGGCATCCCTGCCGATGTTCCCGATCACCGTGCCCGCCCCCTGCTCCTCCGGCACCGAGTAATTCAGGTTCTTCAGAGTCAGGGCAGGAGCCCAGCAGAAGAAGAAGCAACAAATGGAAAGGTACATCCCCGAGCCAGGGGGTGGTGGCAGCTGCGGCAGCACCAGGGTGGCCCCTGCTCCCTCTTCCTCCTCCGCCGCCTTATTCCCTCTCCCTTCTTCTGTTCCCGCTGCCTACCCCTGTGTTTTAAGTTGCTGAACCTGTTGCTCTAAAACATCTGCAGAGACACAGGTTGCGGGGCAGCAAATGGAGCATGTAGCTCGCAGGGAGGGGCGAGAGAGCGAGAGAAAAGCCGCCTCAAATCAAGCGCTTCTGCGGCCACACAATCCCCCTCAGTTACTTAGGCTGTCCAACTTCAGCTGGAGGAAGAGGAGGAGAATAAAAATATATCTTCTTCTTTAGACGGATTCCGAATGGTTGTTTAATTTTTTTCTTTAATATTCGCCGATTTACAAAGAATATAAAAAATGATCGGTGGTGGTGGTGGTTTTCCAGATCAGTCCAAGGAATTTTAAAAAATATATAGAAAAGGGAGCTGGCTGTTGGGAAGCAGGACCGTAAACAGAAAACGCTTATTTGCTACTCATTGCTTGTGATGCGACTGATGGAGTGGAGGGTGGGTAGGACGGGGAGACAGCGGGGGAGGGGGGTAAAAAGAGTCTCTCGCCTGTGTAGAAGCCCGCTCCGTGTGCAGTGAGAGGCAATGAAATGTCTGATTGCACCGCGGGGTTGTTGGTTTTCAGGGAGTGTTTTGCTGCATTTAGAGATCTAATCTTGCATTGCTTGCGGCGGCGAACTGCATCTCGCTGCCATCGGTATTTCCCCCTCGCCGGCTCCTCCACGCTCACTCTTTCCTTTCCGAACAACAAAAAGAGGGAGGGAAATTGCAGTGTGAAAACTAGTGTCCGGATTTGTAGCTTCCTTTCTCTCCCCGCGCCACCAGCCTCCCTCTCTTCCTTTTTTTGGGGGGTGGGGTGGGGGATTAAGAAACCCACCAGCTGCTCGCCATCACTAGCGATAGATGTGTGTTAAAAAAAAAATCACAGGCTGTGCTCAATCAAATGCACACTTGGGTTTCTTTAAGACAGGCCAGTAGCCGCCGCCACCACCACATCCTCTCTCACACACTGTGTGTGTGTGTCTGTGGAGCAGCACTTTTCTCGATGCAGTTTAATTCCAGTTTGCTTTTCTTTCTAGTCGAGAGGAAATCAACAGGCAACCCATGGCTGGACGCACAGATTAAAAAAAAGAGAGCGAGGGAGGGAGGGGGGGAAAAAGCAACCCACCACACACACTCTCTCTTAGTCTCTCGCTAAAAGGGAAACAGTCTCTGCATTCACAAGGCTGAGCTGTCAAGTGCCTCTCTTTTCTTTCTATTCAGCATCTCCTTCCAATGACACTGCCTCCTAGTCCTCTTCATTTAGGGGAGGGGGAATCTTGGCGATGAATAAAAAGAGGCAAATATTTTGATCGACAATTCTTTCAGAATAAAACAAATACAATTCAGTGTTTGGTGTGATGCATTTTGCAGTCTTTTCAAGCTATAATAGTCTTTCTGGGCATCTTGGTGTGTGGGGAAAAAGCGGCTGCAATGCCAGATGCGTTCACCCGGGATGATTTACTTCCCCAGTGATATTATGTATAGGTATATATCGAGGGGGGGAGAAGGGGGTTAATTTTTATTTCAGGTTCTTTTAACAGCCGAAAAGAAATGATTGACACATCCAGAAATGCAGGTGTTTCAATCTGCTGGATGAGTCAGATCCAGCGGAACAAATCACATTCACTATCGCCTCATGTTCCTCCCTTCACAGACATTAGTTGCAGCTTCTTCCTAACGCTTTTCTGACTCACGCTATAGACGGAAAAATCAGATTCATGTTTTGGAGGAAAAAGAGAGAGGGGAAGAAAGAGGAGGGTGTCGGATCCAGCTGCACTTTTACTATACCTCTTTCTCCGGGAGAGTGGGGATCAGGAAAACAAGGCTGTTATCCACTCACGGGCACAGAGGCGCGTCTGTCTCCTGCTTTGCTGAGTGTTTTTAGCCACCTTTCCTCAGAGTTATGTGTGAACACCCAGAGATCTTGCACATTAACGGGGGGGGGGGGGGGAAGCACAGGTTCCCATTGAAATGCTCACAGTTCTAGTCCCAAGTCTCAGTTCTGTGTTGTTTTTTCCTCCTTTATTTGAGTCCGGAGCCACTGTACATAGTTAATTCTGCAGTCTGTTGTAGAGGGATTTTTAAAAATTCTTCTCTCGGTCTCATTGATGGGTGGCACCTTTCAAACAGGCATTAGCCAACGTTAACTAGACCATATGCAAAAGCGATGTCGATTTCAGAGAAAACAGATCCACAGTCTAAGCCGTCCGTAGGTAAGTGGAGATTTGCGAAAATTCAACAGTTGGAGCACTGTCTCTTATAGCTCCCCCTCCCTTACTGCAGTATTTGCTGGGTTTCCAGCCCCATCGCTCTCTCCCAGTGCTTCTTGCCGACTGACTCTATTCACCTCACGCCGCTGCTTAAACATTGATACTGATTCCCTGCCAGCCAATCCGTGCTGAGGAAAGGAACCTGCCTCCGAACCTGGCCTCCAATGAGAATCAGTGGAAAGGCTTGGGGAGGCGGTGCTAGAATCCCCAGTGCTTTGGTGTCATTGATTAGATCAGTTAGATTGGAGACTAACAATGTGAGAAGGGCTTGTTGCTTGTAAATTGCAGTCTCTCATTTCTACACACTGCAGCGTCTCTCTGGCATTTTTATTTTTATTTTTATTGTAGAAATATTAAGGAGTCTTAGGTGATCGCTGAAAATAGAGAAAAATTAGGACCAATACTTCCCATATGTCAGACATTAAACAAACTGTAGTAACGGCGTATGACGGGATAAAATTTGCATGCATGACATAGATCCCAGATTCCCAACAGGTTCTCCACGTAAATCCCTGAATACGGTTAGAATGCTTCACTGTGGGAATGGGAGAATGTGCCTCCGTGTTATCCAGCTGCCGGTCCTATATATCTTCTGTGATACCGGTGGGTAGGCAGCGATCTTCACCCAATTCCCCTGCCTTCGGTAAAAATATTTGAGTTGCGACTCCATAAACAATTATTTCAAACGCACTAATATAGTAATGCATGACAGATACCCCGAATATTATAATTTTTCCAGCACATACTGATCAATAAGTGTCTCAAGAGGGGATAATCAAATATCTCCGCCCTCTCCTCAAGTCCGTTAAACATTTCACTAGAAATTGGGCCCCACCCGTCCCTAACCACAGTTAGCAGGTTTCACAAGATGACCAAAATATAAATCTTATCAAGCACAAAGAAACCTTTGTCCGCATGCTGTGTGGTACCTATGGAAGCCGGTCCCGTGGTAAACAACTGGAATAGGCAATTTCGGCACTTCTGCAAACGATTCTGGTCCACACGAAGCTTCTTTTGCATCCAAGTATTACCAATATTTAGAAGCACCTGGCGTGCTCTCTCACCTCTTTCTTTTCCTGGATTAATGTTTTAGTACCGAAACTAGGACTACTGTCCCTACACATATATTCCCTCATAAAGCAGCCACTGGGAGAGCTCTATAAACTTCGACTGCTGTTCAGACATCCCGGGCGAAAGTTGGGGGAGCACGAGGGGGGAAGCATGGTGTATTGAAATAGAAAGGTGAGTGTTTTGATTGCTAATGTATTGATCTCAATTCATAAATACTAAAGTTAAGTTGCCATTTATAAATTGTGAATGTCGAATGTGTAAGTGAGTAACATGAATCATTTAGAAAGTAAAGAATAAAATCTAGAGCAATTACAAGATGCTTCTGGAAATTATTTTAGAGGAGTTTGTTAAAAATTCAGGTGAGAGAGGATTTTTTTTGCCTGAGTCAATGAAAATTACAGTCAGGCTTTTTTTAGTTATGTCCATCAATATAATTCAACTAAGAGTACAGCTTTTACATTTATATATTCAAATCAGTGTTCTTGCTAGAGCACTTCCCAATCCTAAAACCTCTTTGTAGCTTTAAAATGGATAGTTTGCCATGCAGAATGATTCTGCTTCTAACCATTATGAAACTAATGCTGTGTAAAATCTATCTATCTATCTATCTATCTATCTATCTATCTATCTATCTATCTATCTATCATTACAGGTGGAATCACTAAACTGAAATGTACACATAGTCTATGTGCCAAAGAGAGACATATATATATATGGTATATTTATAAAATGGGCTTTCTGAAAGAAGGATTCTGACTGGCTGATGAAAGCTCAGTGTGTGTGGCTGTCTGCTACAAATAGTCTGTTTTTATTTACCAAAATAAGACGTGAACCAACAACACATTTTATAAATGGAACATCGATACAAAGATACTCCGTTGTCTCAGCAGGTTTGTATCACCCATCCTTGGGTCTTATGTTGTTATTGTTATATAGTTAGGCAACTGTTGCCAAATTAAATACTGTAGGATATCTAAATATGTGACATAAATGCTCTGTGAATATGAAAAAATCTCATTGCATTTATGTACTATCTCCCTCTAGTGTACTGAGCCAGTACTACTGCATTTGGGGCATCTTGTGGGTGAGTGGATGGGTACCCGTTTGTGTACATATGTTGTCTCTAGTTTGTCTTTCTGTTAGGGATCAGTTTGATATAATTAAGTATTCAACTTTACATGCTGAACAGTTCTCAACTCACCCTGAAGTCAATGAAGGTGAGAGCACTCAGCATCTCATAGGATAAGCCTCCAGGACCTTGAAACAAGGGGCAAACTATATAGTGCATACTCAGCCAAAACTTCTATTCAAATCAGTGGAAGTTTTGCCTGCAAAATTTGCTGGGAAGATTTGCCTAAAAGCACCAAAGAGCTACATACCATTTACACTAAGTACACATGTAGAATATTTGGAAAAAATATCAAAATGTGAGTGCCTAAAGTTAGGCCCCTAAATCCATATCTGAACACTGACATAAGTGGTGTGAGGTGAAATCCACCCCACTTCAAGGGGTGGGGGTGTAGTAGTTCACCCCTTATTTTCAGAAACATTGACTGTCTGTGGTTCCTATTGATTTCATAGACTCAGCACCTCTAAAACA